TCGAGAATGACGCATAGGGGATTGTGGTGACTTGCACGTAGGTGAGCAGGATGGATGTGATGGTTGAAATGGTCGGGATAGGAGCGGAGATGTGTTGGTGAGGGAGGGAGGGAGGAAAGGGGGTCGAATGTGGGGCGGTGGAAGTGGAGGAAGTGGGGGGKGGGGTAGAGTCGCTGGAGGACGGGGTGGTGGATGATGACGAAGGAGGAGGAGAGGTGGAGGGAGGCGTGGTGGTGGAGGTCTGAGTGGAGGAGGTGGTCGGTCCGGATGTGGAAGGGGGTGGAGTTGTAGTTGACACGGTGATGGCTGGAGCGTGTTGCTTGAAGGCGGTCATGTGATGGGAGAGAGCGGAGATAGTGGCTTGTATGTCGGCGAGGGAGGTTAAGAAGGTGCAGAACATTTGGAGGATGGCCGAGAGGTTGGTGGCAATGGTTGGGCCGGCTCGTTGTTTGCCTGCAAATTCACGGGTGAGACTACGGACGGAGTGGGTGCGCGTGAGGGACATGTTGATACTGGAAGACTCAGCCATGGGGGTGGAGGCGATGGCAGCGACAGAAGTGGCAGCGGTGATAGCGGAGGCAAGAGCTGAAGTGGCAGCAGCGGATGAGGCGGCTGCTGCTTGAGCAGCTTTGTGCGAGGTGTTGGTTTGGCGCATCATGCCGGTGGGGGGGGAGGGTGAAGGCTGTTATTTACAAAATGAAGAGGATTTGGAAAAAATGAAGGGGGAAAAAAAACAAAGGAATTAATCTAGGCTACCAGCCGGGCCGACCGGGTCCCGGGTGGCCAGCCCGTGCAAGGACCAGGGAAGGTCCCAGCAAAACAAACAAACAAAAAAAAAAAAACCTAAAAATCAGAAAAAAAAACTATGTTATGCAGAAAAATAAACTGAACAACTTTTGCCTCAGGGTCACATCGAAATTCTTCATCAAATTTAGAATAAAAAATAAAATTTATAAATATTTTTTCTATTTTTTAAAAAACTTTTTTTGGCCCGGCCGGGCAAGTGACCCCGGGCCACTCTGGTAGCCTAGGAATTATTGAATTTTTCCAACAATAATGATTTTTTAGCCATCTTTTCAGAAATCTTTCGATGAGATTAAAAGAAAAAACTTCAAAAAGATATTTTGCAGGAATTTTACAAAAGGAAGAGGTTAAAATTTTGAAGATAAGGATAATTAATTCCGAATAAAGAGATTAACATGGTTGCCCCAGACCTGGACACGGACACCAGACCCGTGTCTGGATCAAACCGGACATTAAACCGGACATCCAGACATCCGGACATCCAGACATCCGGACCCAGACAGTCTGGTTTGCTGTGTTGGTGTCCGGTTGTTCGGAGAAACACACACACACACACACACACACACACACACACACCAAGCAGAGAGCTAAAATGCACCAAGGTTCCATCCAAATAAGAGCAAAGCAGTGAACTCGTGTGCCAATGTCATCGCCCTCAGGCCCCACCAACTTAGTATCCAATGTCGCTCGTCTCTGTCTGGCGTCATCGCCCTCCCATCCCTGGTCGCCCCTCCCATCCTTCATCGCCCTCCCATCCCAGGTCGCCCCTCCCATCGGCCAGACCCTCCTCCCACGTTACAAAAATGCAAGGAATATGAGCGAGAGCGATAGATAGAAAATCAAGTTTGCGAAAGCACGCAAGCAGAGAGCTCAAATGCATCAAGATTCCATCCAAATAGGTGCAAAGCAGTGAACTCGTGTGCCAATGTTATCACACAGAGGGCCCTTTCAGGGCCTGCCCGGTTGGGGTACCGGTTCTAAAAAACATCAGCATTATTTTTCCGGGGTACCCCAGGCCTAGGTAAACGGTTGGGGAACCCCAAAACAAAATTTTGAATTTTTCGAAATCGGGGTCCAACCGGACCCTCCGAACGGGACACCGGACACCGGACTGTCTGGATCAAGATCCGAACGTCCGCGGACACCGGACTGTCTGGATCGAGATCCGAACGTCCGGTTGGTAACCATGGAGATTAATGCCAACATGGATTAATTGAATTTATTTGAAAATAATTGATGAGTTCAGAAATACATTTGACGATAAAAAATTTCGAAAAATAATGAATTAAGTTCGATTGATTGTAAAGCTAGGCTGTTTTTCCGGGCACCCAACTTGTGCCCGGATACACGCCCGGGTGCCCGGCCGGGCATGACCCCGGGACATGGTTCCGGGCAGCCACAATGCAAAAAAAAAAAGGAAAAAAGAAAAGGAAGAAATTAGAAAAATTCCAGAAAAAAATATGTTGTGTAGAATTGCAATACAAACAACTCTTGGCTGAGGGTCACATCAGAATTCCTCACCGAATCGGAGATAAAAAAAGAAAACAACAAAATAACGTAGAGGCACCCCCCTTTAAACCCTCTTAGCCCCTTTAAAACAAATTTATACCCCCCTTCCCACCCCCTGACAACCAACTTTCAAAAAATGAAAAAAAAACGGATTTGGGGTCCTCTGGGAGAGCGCATTTGCACGCCCTGGTACCCCAGGTGTCAGACCCCCCTGGGTGTCACGCCCGGGTGCTCGGCCGGGCATGAAAATCTTCCTAGCTTTAAAGTATTTTCGAATTGCAAGAAATGTTTTCGATATTGTTTTTATTTGTTTCTCCAATTTTAATAAGAATCTGTAGTTGATGCTCGGCCAAAAGTTGCTTATTTTGTGTTGTTCCCTCACTTCTTTTTTTTTCCAGATTTTTTAATGATTTTTTTTTTTTTTTTTTTTTTCCGTACGGGGGCGTACAAGACGTACAGGTGTACAAATCCCATGCAGATATTACCTGTACATTTTGTATGGAAAGGCCCCGTACGTGTACGTTATGCAACGTAGAGTAATTCTGAATTATTTTCAAATTACAAAAACAATCCAAAAAAAAATAAATAATTATAAAGTATTTCCCATTGCTATGCCGGACCCGGACCCGGACAGCTCATCCCCGGGGACCGGTGTCGGGACCTGTGTTTCCCGAAGCAAGTCCCGACCCTTGAGACATGATATATGGCTAAGATGTGCACGACAGAGGAATCCGGAGTGAGGAGGCAAGAGAGATAGAAAGGATGAAGGACTAATGCAGGATCATCGACGACAAGGACCCAAGAGGAGGCTTAAGACCACCGAAGCTTTTAGGACCAGGAATAGACCGCGGAGTTGCGGTCGGCAAAAGACCACGAGAAATTAGTAAAGGCGGCCCTCCGTCTTGAAAAAGGAGGACTGTCAGAAAAATAATAATCGGATGCCAAGTACCGCAGGAAGAAGGGGGCCAACAACGCCAAGGAAAATAGGGCCTTCACACCGACGCATAAGATTATGGCATGGGCCGGAGGGGGCATCTGAATTCGGCAGGAGAAAAGCCCAAGGGCCATGGACCAAGCAAGGAGGACACAAAAAGGGCCAGTAGGTACCACACAAGCATGTGCCTGGGCCACAGGCGACCTGAAAAATAAGTGGCCTTGGGAGCCAAAATAAAAAGGACTAGAAAAAGAGAAGGAGAGCCTCAATTTCGAGGCTTGTAGGCCTTGAAATTGAGAAGGGACTCAAAGGGGATGCAACGGATCACAAGGGCTTTAAATATGGAAGGCCCAGGTACGCTGAACCTGACAAATGGGGTCCTAATGTGATCCGGAATAAAACGGTCAGCAAAGGTGAGGGGAAAAGGGCCTAGAGGGAGAATGGGAGAGGTAGGAGAGTGTTACATGCCCAGTTGGGCGATGTACACAATAACCGAGGATCCGCAATGTGATGAAAAGGACTGAATGGACAATGCAGTGCAAGTAGAATCTCAACAAGCAATGTGCATTCTGATACATACAAAATGGTGCTGAATAGCGCAGGGAAGACTTAGATACAAATCCTGACCTGACCGGGACTGACCTAATTCACGTAGTACAAGATAGCGAAGCAGAATGCTAGAATTCTAATGACTAGCCCAATCAATGTTTGAACGCAGACCAAACATACATCGTGTCCATCACAAGGTGTGAAGGAGCCTGGCGCTGTACACAGGAAGGAAGCGCCAGGTCCAGACATACACGGACGAAGAGGAGCGGATTAGATGAAGGAGGGGGGAGAGATGGGAATGTCGTCAACACCAAGTCTTTGTCACAAGTCCCAAATAATCCCTCGTTGTAATGTCTGAAGCCCAAAAGTCGAGTCTGGATCCAATGTCACCAAGCTCTCTCTCTCTCTTTCTCTCATAGTCTGTTGATGCAGTGAAGTCAGATAATGAGAGGGTGAGAGGGAGATGGTGGACTGAGAAGAGGAAGAAGAAGAACTCTCTCTCTGCCACGAGCCAGATACTAACATGTGAAGTTGGCAGGTACCTCGAAGACGAAGCTGGAGCAACGACGCTGCAGGTAAGTACCTCTGGCCTCCGCCCAGCTCTCTCTCTCTCTAGTGCTATCCTAGGTATGGCGCCCAGCGCTGAAGACTACAGCTACCTACTGCGCCCAGCGCTGAAGACTAATGCTCACGCTACTACTACTCCTGCAACGCTCCCTCCAGAGTACTGCTGCCGAATCCTGAAGACTACTGACTGCCTCCTGCCTGCCCGTGAAGTGCAATGGAAGTCCCTATGTACTACCTCGGCCTGCCTCCTGACTGCCTGAAGGGCAAGCCAGGCCGAGGAGGCTGCTCTTGCCAATGCCGAAGTGTGCCAGGGGCTGGCGCTGCAGCATCTGCTGAGGCTGGTGTGAGAACAGGCTAAGAATAGCCTGTTCCCGAAACCCTAGTTCGGTGCCTGATTTTCAGGGCTGGTCGTTCTGATGAACGACCGAAAATGGCCCTTCGTTTTAGGCTAAAACGGCTATTGCCATTTTTAGTCTGAAACGACACAGGGTCTGTAGGCCCCTATTTTTCAGGCTTTCGGGCTGAACAGACATGGGGCCTGTAGGCCCTGGTTTTTAGGCTTTCAGCCTGTATTTCAGGCTTTCAGCCTGTATTGCAGGCTTTCAGCCTGAGGGACGCAAGGCTTGGAAAATGGTCCTCGTGTTGCAGGCGCAACATGTAACACCCCCCCCTCCTTATGAAGTCAAGCCGGGGCGAGGGCGAAGCCGACGATCTGAAGGTGGAACCTGGATGCGGGTGCGGCGTGGAGCCGAAGAGACCGGCTTGCCTTGCATCTTGCGTTCATATCGTGCGAGAACGTTTGGAGCTGTTGCTTGAAGTTCTGCACGGGTCAACCAACGGTCAGCTCGGTGTGTGCAGTATGCAAAATGCACCAAATACTCGGTTGGCCTGTTGCCGTAGCGTCGTTGGGAGATGATGTCGCCGACCTCCTGAAAACCGCCCATAGAGGGTGGGTCTTGCGAACGTCTCCCGAGAAAATCGTCATGTTCCGCTGGCGTGTAAAGAGCCAACTTGGAGCAATGAAAGACTGGGTAGATGGGCAAGTGGGCAGGCACTTGAATCGTGAAGGAAGGTCCCTCGGGTGCGTCTCCAGCGGTTGCTACGATTGGCCAAGGGCCCATCCATTTCGGGAGGAGCTTGCGAGAGATATCTTGTTCAAGGCTGAATTCCGCGGCGAAGACCCAAACGAGATCGCCGGCGCGGAATGGGCAAGGAAGACGCTGGCGATTGGCCTGCTGGCTCATGCGTTGCTGCGTCTTGGCCATCTGGTCACGTGCCTTGACAAGTAGCTCTTGCATTCGACGCAAGAAAAGAAGATGGTCGTCGCTCTCGGCCGTTCGTGGAGTGATAGTGTCCAATGGTGAAGTGACTGGCGAGCTGTGCTCGAACTCGAAAGGCGATATCCCGATAGTCGGGCGGATGGAAGAGTTGTAGGCCAACTCGACATCCGGCAGCCGCTCAACCCAGTCCTTCTGGTCAGGACAAATGAGAGTGCGAAGGAGAACCTGTGCGGTCTGGTGCGCCCTCTCCGTTTGGCCATCGGTCTGAGGGTGGCGAGCTGAACTGGGCTTGAGAGATGAGCCCCATTGCTTGATGAGCGCCAACCAAAAATCGGACATGAACCGAGTGTCGCGGTCGCAGACGATTTCCTTGGGGTAACCCTTGATTCAAATCCAACCGGCGTAGAGAACCTCGGCCAACTCCGGTGCCTTGGCGTGACAGCGACAAGGCAAAAACATGGCGAACTTGGTGAGTCAGTCGACCACCGGGAGAATCCCATCCACTCCGGTCTTGTGCTTGGGAACGGGCCGGTAATGTCCATGGCAATCGCTTCCCTTCACCTCAAAGGGACCGGTAATGGCCGTAACTCGCCGTACGGACGGTGGTTGCGGGATTTGCAGCGTCGGGAAACCTCGCATGACTCGCAATAGTGTGTGACGTCGCCGAGAAGGACGGGCCACCAAAATTGCTCGCGAAGTCGGCCAATCGTGCGATTGACTCCAAAGTGTCCGGTGGCGGGAGCATCGAGGAACTCGCCAAGAAGCCGTGTACGCAAGTGAGGATCACTCGGTGCGCAAAGAAGGTCCTTCCCCCGTGTGTGGACAAGCAAGCATTCGCGTATTTGTCGTGGAACTCGGGGTCGGCTTGGTAGCCGCGGATGAAGCTGTTCCGCAGGTCATCATCAATCTCGAAGTTTGAGTAGACCGCGGTGCAATGATTCGGAAGCTGTGAAAGAGCATCCGCAAAACGGTTCGACTTCTCGGGAATGTGATCGGGAAAGAAGTCGAACTGGTCGATGGAAGCCATCCATCGAGCGATGGTGCTGTTGACGGTGTCTTGGGTCTTGTAGAAGACCAACGGATTGTTGTTTGTTACCCATCGGAATTGGCTTCGACCAAGGAGGAAGTGCCGCCACCGCTTGAGCGCGTGGACGAAGACGAGGAACTCCTTGCGTGCATCGTCAATGGAATGGACGACGACCACTTTCTTGCTGAAATACTCGACCGGGTGCCAGTCCACACCATCATGTTGCTCGAGGACTGCACCAATGCCATAGCCTGACGCATCCGTAGTGATGCGCTTAGGCAAAAGCGGGTCGTATATCCGCAAGACCTCCGCAGACAATAGCGCGGCTTTGAGAGCCAAAAATGATTCCCGTGCCTCCTCTCCGAAGTCAAACGGCCGATCCTCGCATTGAAGCTTGGTCAAGTGGGCGGCGATCTTCGAGTAGCCTTCGATAAAACGCTGGTAGTAGCCGGCGAGACCAAGGAACGAACGAACATCCGTGACGTTCCGAGGCTCCGGCCCCTCTTGGATGGCTTGAATCTTGTTCAATAGCGGACTGATGCACGAAACTCATTGGTCATTGCCGCTTGAAAGGTTGTCGGGGCGTTGGTGAGGCCAAAAGGCATGACCACCCACTCAAAATGCCCGTACCGCGTCTTGAACGCGGATTTGTAGCGATCATTCGGCCGGATCGAGATTTGATGATATCCCGATTTCAAATCCAACTTAGAAAAATATTGTGCGCCGCCCAATCGCTTAAGAAGATCGTCGATACGAGGAAGAGGCCCCGCATCAAGAATGATCTCGTGAGAGATCGACCGATCCAGCACCACACCGGTAGGTGACTCGAAGATGTCGGCGAACTCGTCCAGCAACCGCACCACTAGGGGGTCCAAAGACAAGTCCGTGGGTGAAGAGTCGGCTACCACGACGGTCCGTAGGAAACATAGGCCGATCTCCTCAGGCTGCTCGTAAGCGCAAGTTGCCCGGAATGATTTGGCCATCACCACTTGGCACCGAATCGAAGGGTGCGGTAGAGGAATAGTACACGCCACTTCCGTGCCGAAGGCGTCGCAAACGCTAAGAGTCCGCCGGTGGAAGTTGACCGTGTGATCCGCACTTGCAAGCCAAGGCATTCCCTGAATGATGTCGAAGTCCGTGTCGGAAATGTCGAATGTCACCGGTTTGCATGCATGAGGTGCGCAATAAACCGGTACGGCCTCGATGTAGCGGTCGAGAAGTTGCTGCGTCTTTCCATCCGCCAACTTGATCGCTGTCGGGTTTGCCTTCCTCCGAACTTATGCGCCAAGGCCAGCCCTTTGCATAAAGGCTTGGCTCATGAAATTGCGAGACGCGCCGCTATCCAGCAAAGCGCTGCAGGACGCTTGCCCAACCTGGATGCGGACATACATGAGCGGTGCGTTGTTGTCATCGTACCGCTGCGTGCGAAACTCGCGGGCCACCTTGGTAACATACGCAAGGATGTCCCCCACCGCGACTTCGTCATCCGTCGGCGAAGTTGGTGGTGCATAGAAGGATAAGTACGTGTGAAGATGAGCGTATTGTGGTCCCGGTAGGCGACCCGTGGTCGGGAGAGGGCCATGCGAAGTCCTCGGACGTGAGCGGGTCCAACACCTCTATGTTGAACTCGCGCGCCGAATCCCGTGAAGAACCACTTGAAGACGATAAGTCGCCGCTGCCGGACGGAGAAGATGCCGCACACACGTCTTGTCCTTGAGCTTGAGTATCCAGCGTAGGAACGAGTCGGGCAGCATAGTCCTCAAAAGAATACAGAAGAGGAGGAGTATCGACTTCCTCATGCGCCTCGGAATGAAGGCCGGTCACTCGCGAAGAGACCGGTTCCAGAGGCGTCGAGAGTGTTGTCGAGTCACTCTCGGCGGTGCTCAGTTTCCCTGTTTGCCCTTGCCTTTCAATGGGCAGGCCAGTGTCTCATGGAGATCGTCGTTGCACCATAGGCAATAGTGGAATCTCGTGCGCACCTTGAATGCTTGCTCGGAGATGCCGTATTGGGACCATGGGGCTGGAGCTGCTGCGCCGGGCCCGGGGCTAGATGCGGTGTGTGTCTTCTTGCCGCGTCCTCGGCCTTTGCCGGGGCAGCCACCTTCCCGGGCAGCTGCAAGTCTGTCCCCTTCATTGGCAGACACGACCTCGCTAGTTTGGTCAAACGGCGTTGCCGCTGCGACCACGGCCACTCTTGGCCGATGCTGGTCCCTGCTCGGGCCCGGCGCAAACGAACGCAGGTTCTTTGTCTCCTTGTTCGTGATAATGATCTGCGCGGCCTTGTCAAAGAGTTCCACCGTTGTTGTCAAGGTGTCCTCGACATGAGTCAAGGCATTTCTTAATGTCGGACATGACCTTGAGATGAAATAGTGGCGGATGGCCTTGAAGCCCATCTGGATGTCTGGGACTGATGTCAAGCGTTGGTACCCGGCAATCCAGTTGGTACTCGGCAGCGTGCCTTGCTCGAAGACCATGAGCTTGTCCATAGCCTTGATCTCGGGCAGCTCGACTTGGAACCGCTTGTGCCACACTGCCTTCAGATCATCCCAACTGATCTTGGTGCGCAAGTTGCCAGCTACTACTCCGTATTTGGACAAGAGATTGTCCAACCATGCCTGGCACGCGCCCCCCGACCGGGAGTACAAGTACGCGTGGTGCTTGTGTTCCTTGACGTAGTGTAGCTGTAGCGTGAGCTCGAACTTGCGGAACCATGATATAGGATTTGTCTTTGTTGAGTCGCAGAAGATCTCCTGTCCGTCGAACTTTGGAGCTGTCTCGCGCGGTTCTGAACTCGAGTGGTTGGCGGCAGTGCAAATCCGTTGTTCCAACTGTTACGTTGCGGCCTGCTGTAACTGCACGCCGTCCTTGAGGGAGCCGACGTCCATCTCCAATGCTTCGAGGCGATCGGAGGTGTTGGAAGAGCTTGCATCGGAGGCGGCGACAGGTCACTGCTCCAACTGTCGGAGGCGGCCTTGGACTTGAGCTAGCGAGTCGTCGAGGTTGTGGATGTCCTCCTACTGTGTAATGCATGTCGCCAGGAGGTCCGTGAGATGGGAGAGGAGGAGAGCGATCTTGTTTTCGCTATCCTCCAGCTTGCCATTCTCGGCCTTGGTCCGCCATTCCGCTGCCATTGTGAGCAAAGTCTGCTCTCCGTTAAATATCTTCTCACAACATTGAATTCTTTCTTCATCGGCAGCCTTTGCTGCTGCCTCGTCATGTTGGCGCTGTTGTTCAATTGCCAGCAGACGTGCCTGCTCGATGTCCTCTTCCTTCTTCTTCGCTGTTGTTGCTGCGTCATCCGCCCGTCTCTTTGTTTCGGTACTCCAAGCCAGCATCCGGGCGTGATAGGCCTCGTCTGCTTCTCCGGACCTCTGGTCCATGACGGCTGTCTGTGAATGCAACAACATAGACCAGCCCGGGGGCCTGATAACATGGTATTCCGTGCTACTGACGTGGCACTGCTGTCGGCTGACGTGGCCTGTTGACGTGTCCTGCTGACGTGGCCTGCTGACGTAGTCTGTTGATGTGGCCTGCTGACGTGGCAACTCACCAATGCCGTCGCAGGGGGTACCCGGAGACAGGTAGAGAAGGTAAGGCGAGAGGTGGCAACAACATAGGTGGGGAGGGGTGGGTGGGATAATCGCCCAGACAACGCCCAGATAAGGAGCCACTAATCAAAAAAGAAAAGTTTGAACTTTGCAAAAAAAAAAATTCGAGAAAAATAAAAAATCCCGACTTTTGCAAGTTCAGTAGGTCTCCCAACCTCCCTTGAAGTGCGAAACTATCAATGAGAAAAAAATTCGAACTTCAAACGGCCAATGATTTATAGAACTGACTAACAGAATCCTAGAACTGCAAAAAAAAAAATTCCGAAAAGACATGATAAGTGTTCGGATTTACTCAGATGAGAGTATTCGCAGTTTGGAAAATAATACCCGCAGGAGGTATTTCCCGTACCGTTTTCTGAAAAACGAATTTCGAAAAAGAAGATATGCCAAATTTCTAAGTAACGGGAAATGCAACAGGAAATCGAAATTTTCGAAAAGAAGGATATTCCGGATTTTCAACAACGAAATTTCAAAATTTCAAAAGGAAAACGAAAATGGAAATTTCGGATGTTGCGCTATTGCGATTTTCCACAACAGAATAGCGAGAAAACAAAATCCAAGAAGAAGAAAAAAAATTCGATTTTCGGCAGTAAGGTCAAAATCGTGATTTTGGGTGCTAACTAGTGTGCTCTAATCAATCAATAAAGGCTAATCAGCTACCTAGTCCCCGCACACGTGTCAGATCAGGTTGTCTCGATTCACGTGCGGTGTTCCGATACCAACTGTTACATGCCCAGTTGGGCGATGTACACAATAATCGAGGATCCGCAATATGATGAAAAGGACTAAATGTACAATGCAGTGCAAGTAGAATCTCAACAAGCAATGTGCATTCTGATACATACAAAATGGTGTTGAATAGCGCAGGGAAGACTTAGATACAAATCCTGACCTGACCGGGACTAACCTCATTCACGTAGTACAAGATAGCGAAGCAGAATGCTAGAATGCTAATGACTAGCCCAATCAATGTTTGAACGCAGACCAAACATACATCGTGTCCATCACAAGGTGTGAAGGAGCCTGGCGCTGTACGCAGGAAGGAAGCACTAGGTCCAGACATACACGGACGAAGAGGAGGGGATCAGACGAAGGAGGGTGGAGAGATGGGAATGTCGTCAACACCAAGTCTTTGTCACAAGTCCCAAATAATCTCTCGTCGTAATGTCTGAAGCCCAAAAGTCGAGTCTGGATCCAATGTCACCAAGCTCTCTGTTACATCTTCGACGCACACGGGTCCTACCGGACCCGACTTAGGGCCGGAAGGACACATCAGGGCCTAAAGGCTCGACCTTGGGGTATTACAGGCCCTTAAGGTCTGACCTTGGACCAGTACTCGACGGGCAGGCCCAAACGGCATTATCGTTTGGACCTGGCGGCGCTCTTGAGGCTGCCGCCCGCCGGTTGGGGCTGAACCGTCCATCTGGACGGTTCAGGGCATGGCCAGGCTTCGCAGCATTGAGGCCGGCCTCTGCCCCACCGGTATAAGTACCGGTACAGCCTCACTTGGAGGGATCGAACCACCGGCACCCTACCAGTGCGTTATGGTCAGCGCCAGAGCGCTGTTTTGATGCGCTAAGTTCAGCGCAGGAGCGAGCAAGGAGCAGCAGCGGCAGCGCAGCATTAGCGCAGCGGCAAGCGGAGCAGCAGCAGGGCGACTGAGCGAGCAAGGAGCAGCAGCGGCAGCGCAGCATTAGCGCAGCGGCAAGCGGAGCAGCAGCAGGGCGACTGAGCCAGCACGGCGGCCATTGCCGCCTGAGGTACCTGGGAGCGGAGGACCTCTCCTCCCTCCCTCGTCAGCTCTCTCTCCCTCTCTCTCTCTCTCTCTCTCTCTCCTCCTCCTCCTCCTTCTTCTTCTTCTTCTTCTTCTTCTTCTTCTTCTTCTTCTTCTTCAGACTAGAGACTTATACTAGCTGGACAGAGATCAGAGTTGGACTTCGGTGATATGAGACTGTGGTACTTACCTGATTGGAGACTTGGAGATTGTTGAGGTTGATACTCGGCTGCATCATAGTTGGACACCGGTTACATCGGGGCTCTGTATCTCCGACATTAATGACCTATGGGCCTCGACATTTTGATCTTGTTGTATGACATTTTGGACTACCATATCGGAGACCTATCAGACTCTATCTATCGGCGTTGTCTACCTCCCCACCTCCTTCGTCTGTCCTCCCACCTGTCATCTGTGAATGCGTGTACGGRATCTGGGCATCGTCTATGAATGGCCCAGACCCCACCATCTCACGATTGTATGTGTGTGGAGTGATGCTATGTGAGTCAGTCTATGTGAGTCAGTCCGTTTATCAGACTTCCGCTGCATATATGCTCATCCTACATTGGTTGATCTTTGGTTCTGCCCATACTCCTTGAAGTATGCAACAGTTTTGGTATCGGAGCAGACCAATAACGGATCTGCTCACCAGGTAAGTCCGTTTAGAATTAGATTATTTTTCTAAATCGGCGCTGAATTATTATCGAGATTTAAGTTGCAAAATTTCTTTTTTTCGGTCTTCTTGTTATTTCGGCATTCCGTTTCAAGTCAGTATTCGGACTTATTATTCGGATTTTTGTTTTATGCCGGGACACTGTTTAATTAGATCCGAGAAATTGATACTAATTTAACATTCTATTTGATTCGGATTTCTGGTTAGTAATTCGTAATTAGGGTTGAATCAGTATCATGGTTGAAATTCGGCTTTTCTGATTTCCATTCAGCATTCCGTTTTCGGCATTCTGTTGTAAATCCTATATTTCGTTTTTCTTTTGGGATTTCCGTTGTCTTTCAGTATTGGAAATTAGGGTTACGAAATCTTTGGTTTTTTTGATCAAGTGGGAAATTCGAACGTTTTGGGACTGTAAATCCGGAAATTTTGCGGAAACGCGGAAAATTAGGGTTGGGACCGAAATTTTCGCGAAATTTTTTTCGTTCCCCTTGTTTGAGAAATTCCGAAAATAGGGTTAGACCTTTAAAAATCGGATTTTGACGGTGGAAATTCCCAAAAATTCACGTTTTTGAAAATTCGAGCGTTTTTCTTCTGAAATTTTCCGAAATTGCTTCAAGCACACTAATCCGTATTTGGCCCTCAAACTGCAACTTCCGGGTAGTTCACTCATTAACGGTGAACTCCCGGACTCAAGTGATCTCAAAGAGACCTAATCATAACACCATTCAAATTCATTATTATTCATTAAGAATTATTATTTCGTTATTTATCATTAATTAATTTTACTGATTAAATCGTTATTAAATTCTTATTACGAATTTTGGAGTGATTTACGGGAAAGTGATTTTTCTGTTTGATTAGGTGTCTACAGTCCATCAGTGGGACAGGGRATTGTATGTATATTGCTTGATTGTTCTACCCCTGTTCCCACTCTCCCTACCCCCCKGTATTCTGTGAACACCGGCACCTCTCAAGTACCGCATCAGWTCAGACTGATGTCGATGGAACAGGACACCGGGGCACTGCCACGGCGCAGTGCCAGGATCGCAGTTCGTGCCCGCCCTGCAGTACCTCCAAGACCCAAGAGATTCAGCAGACGGACGACTCCAGCGGCATCAAGTACGGCATTGACACTACAAGACACCACCGGAGATCTTCCCGCATGCCCGGTCCGAGAGGCCAGCGAGCCTTTGGCTGACTATCGTGGGCGGCTACAGGCATTTACAGACGCCATAGCCGCCGCCGAGGCTCAGCAGGCTGCGGCAGAGGCAAAACGTCAGCGGTTGGCCAATGAGGCGGCAGCCGAAGCTCAGCGGACAGCTGAGACTGATGAAGCGGCACGAAACAGACGGAATGCCGCCAGCACGGAGTCCCTGATTGCCAGTGAGCATCAGTGGACAACGATACTCCAAGGCATGATCTTTGTGCCTACGGAAACGCAGGCGGAGCCGACACAGGCGGAGGCAGAGAGAAGTAACCTGGCTACCGTGATGTTGAACGTAATGAGGGGAGTAATGTGGAACAACAAACTACTGCAGGCACACCTGCACGCGGAACGACAGCAAAGACAGAAGTACCAGCAAGACCTGGCCGCTGTAACGGCCGGCGTCCGCGACGYAGCAATGCAGCAGCAGCAACAGCAATAGCTGATGAACTCTACCATCGCACGCATCAACGACATTGAGGCCAAGGCCTCAGCAGCGCCAGGCTGCACG